TTGACCTTGAGTTTGGGAGTTGTAGTTCTGATACATCCAGAGAGCACTGTGAACTCAAACAGTGGACCAAAATTGGCACAAATATTCAATATGCCCAAATGTGAACAGAAAATACTGAAACTCATTGACATTGAATCTTGGAGTTATAGTTCACCTACATCAGGAGACTGAAAGAAAAGAAGTGTTAACTTTTATATGACTGAGTGTTGAAGTTTGTCACAGGTTCCAACTACATTTCTTGCATTTAAGACGGAAGCAAACTCATGAAAGAAGGTGAAGGACTGAATAGTGAAATGCAGCAATGGGTTGGGAGTGGACACTCAGAAAAGCTGAGCATAAAATTATTGCTTGGTTGTATTGGCTGGTGTTTTCGGGAGTTACAATTCCACAATTATATTCCCAAGTTATAGGGGAGATTGCTATTCTTAGTAACATCCCTAGTGGACCTAGAGTTAGGATCAGATTGTAATCCCCTCCTGAACAGAGCAACCTGAGCAGTGGACTATGTGCACCATGTGTCCTGGCTGATGAAAGCTGGCCTTTGCTCTCTCTGCTGTACTTTGTCAAGCAGCAGGCCCATAGCCAAGGGAGAGGGGAGCAGGCCACCTGGCCAGAAAGATGATAATGTGCTACTGAGCTGCCATGCAACACTGGACTTTGAGCTGTGTTCTTTTTACTGGAAGCCGAGGCACTCTAAATTATGACACAATCATGCATGAAAGTGAAATCTGATACAGATTCTGATATATGTGGCTAGCGGCTACCCAACAACTATACAAGGAATGAAGATAATTTTGTGGTTTGTGAATATCTAATATGTACTGAAGTGTAATGGTTTACAGTGGATGGAGCTTGGATTGCAATAGAGATTTCTTAGCTAGTAGACATTTAGCAGAAGCTAAATTCAGTAATGGCAGCCTCTGCCAGCCTTGTGCCCCTACCCCTGGTACTTGTTTGGGGTTATAGTTCCCATCATCCCCAGTCAGCATCCCCATCATCCCTGCTGGCCAGTCACAACTTGGGTGTGATTTTCTTGCTTCTTGGCAGGGGTTTGGACTTGATGGCCCATGAGGTCTCTTCCAGTTCTATGATTCTATGAAAAGCACCCCATGTAGCACTCAGGTAATTTTTATATGGTGCCACTGTCCATTCAGTATGAAGTGGTTCTCTTTCAGTCTGCTTGTAATGTCAGTTCTTTTGACTAGATGATACAATACATGCATAATATTTTATATTGATATAATTACTTTTTATTTTTTGCTTCTAAGTAAGTACAAAAATGAAAGGGTGTAAATTTCCTCAAGACAAAAGCAGCCCTGGGACCACTACTTGGATGGGATATTGATAGTGAAGACAAAGCGCTGTAGTTTAGGAAGGAACTGGCAAAACCATTTCTGAGTATTCCATGTCTAAGAAAACCCTTTGAAATGCATTGGGTCACCATAAATCAACGAGTGATTTGAAGTCACATACGACATAAGCACTCAGGGTTTGCCAACCATATATATTAGTCATACCAGGCCCTCTCTCCACATCTCTTTTAACCAACCTAAACACAAAGGGTAAAAAGATAGGTTACAACTTCACCGAATTTACAGTATATTCTGGTGTATAAGACTACTGTTTAACCCAAGAAAATCTTCTCAAAAGTCAGGGGTCGTCTTATACACGGGAGCCGTCTAGTACACGGGAGTAGTCTTATGGACTGGAATAGCCTTATGCATGGGAGTCGTCTTATATGCGGGAGCAGTCTTATATGCCAGGAGTTGTCTTATAGAGCGGGTGCTGAAACTTCCAATCCAGATTGGAGAATCTGTGGTTGCTGCATATTGTGGGGGGAGCTCAAAAATGGCAGTGACCGTGTCCCTGCCGCTTGCAGCGACTGTATGAAAGCATTAAGGGCGACACTGTACAAGTATGGTAGAAGAAAATCCATTCATCAGAATTCGTGGACTTAATTAGCTCCCGATAGTGCGGTGAAGGGGTGCCTCATCAGGAAGGTGTAAGTGCAGGGTGGATCAAACTGCAGGCGCCCGGGGTATGGAAAAAAGAGATAGAGTGGCTCTGGGCCCAGAAAAACACAACTCTTTTACCTGTGCCTCCTCCTCTGCCTCTCAGATCTCGCTCCTGAAGACTGCAGTGAAGTGGTGCAGGTGTGCATTTGCCAGACCTGAGAGGCAGAGAAGGATGTACAGTAATAGGAAAATTACCATATTGAAATCAAATCTGATGATTTTAAATTTTTTATTTGGTGTGTGTTGGAAGATGGGTAGTCTTATACGGCGAGTATATCTCAAAATCTATATTTTAACCGGAAAAGTTGGGCGTCGTCTTATACGCCCAGTCGTCTTATATGCTGGAATATACGCGTAGTTTTAAAATTCGGTGGTTGGGGGAGAATGCACATGCATTGTGGCCATAATCTCAATTGTGTTCCCACATGCTCATTAAAGAGTAAACAACCATCTCAGATCTGTTGCTATATATGTATTTATTGTATTGTCTACTTCAGGATTTCTCAGCAAGGGCTCCCTGAACATAGGGTTCCATGAGATATCCTACTAGTTTCTCAAAAGTCCTGATTGGAAAAAAGCTGGGTTTTTTCCAAGCTGCAGCTATAATAATTTTTATGCAGGAGTTCAATGAGACCTAAAAGTATTTAAAGGTAAAAGTATTCCATGGTAAAAGTCGAGAGAGGCTATTAATTTATGAGATTTTACTGTTGGGGATCACACTGCAGGGTGCTTTAAACTGATTGTTTTGTTTATTTGTATGTGTCAGGTTTTGGACACTATTAGTCTTTAGAAATTTGAAGATCCTTATATTGTGTTATTGGTATCTTTTGCTTCTATCATATTTTCATCTCCTTGGAAAAAGAAATTTAAAACTGAATATTTTTTTCATGTTAAAAGGAAAGTAGTTTATATTTTAAAAAGGAAATTAATATATGTACGACTCAGCTTCTCTCTTTGTTTTGTTTCAAAAGCATGTTAAACCTATTTGATCTAAAGTGAGTACAGAGGAGGAAGATAGTCTCAAATCACTCCTGATTAGACATGTGCATTCGGGGGAAACCTTGTCCCATTTCGTGTCCTGGCTTTCATTGGAGGCCCCGATCTGTTTTTTGTAAGTCTCACAAAATTGGGAGAGTTATTTTTAGTCCTTTTGTTTCGGGGCCCGAAAATCAGACTATTACTGTGGGGGGCATCCTACCTACTGGCTTCCCTTCCCGGCATGTGTTCTTCTTACCTGGCACCTGCTGTTTCTACTCTAGAGTAAGAGGCGCTCAGCTGCAGATGTACTCCAGCCTGCATGCCCCACTAAACATGCCCCACCACACTCTCTGAGAGTGTGTGTATAGCCGAGCTCTGGGCCTGCCTGCACGCCCCGCCACACACGCATTCTCTTTCCAAGGCAAGGAGGCAAGTTCAGATGCACATGAAAGCAGGCTTTTGTGTTGAGCAGATTTTCGTATGGGGAGAGGGCTTCCCGTTTCATGCTTCCAAAGAAATGGAAGACTCAAAAGAAACATTAGAAATGGTAAGAACTAATTTTGTGCACATGTCTACTCCTGATGTCTTTCTATTGACTTTAAATCCCATCAGATATGGCATCTGGCTTTGTTTTTTTAGGTCCAAACAACCCAAGAATGATGATGATGATGAAGAAGAAGAAGAAGAAGAAGAAGAAGAAGAAGAAGAAGAAGAAGAAGAAGAGGAGGAGGAGGAGGAGGAGGAGGAGGAGGAGGAGGAGGAGGAGGAGGAAGAAGAAGAAGAAGAAGAAGAAGAAGTAGTAGTAGTAGTAGTAGTTTATTTTTCTACCCCACCTCCATCTCCCCGAAGGGACTCGGGGCAGCTTACATGGGGCCAAGCCCAAGGCAAAATACAATTAAAAGCAAAGCAATAACAAATTAAAATAGCATAAAACAGCATAATAACAAGCATCAAAAGCAACAGCAGACTAAATTTTGTGGGGGGGGGGGGGAGAGGACCTCTATGCAAGCTGGTTAAAGGATAAGGTGGTTCAATAAGGTGGATAGCAATGTATAATAGCATAGGAAATAGCATGGAAACAGAGCAATTTAACAGGATCCGTTCAACTTAACTTAATATATAGTAATGTAATATAGGAATTCAGAATCAGGTCATGATTCAAGTAATGATATAAGTCATTTATCATAGAAAAACCTAAGAATTGTATGCAGATGCTATGAACAAATGTCATCAGCATAAATGCTATGTAGGCTCAACAATTCCTTTTCCAATGTGGAGAAGTCCATGATAAGCTTTGAAAGAAATTGAGGATCTGGATCCTAGAAGCTCATTGTGTACATTGATGGGTAGCCTTTCGAATGGAGTTGGATGATGAATACACCAGAGAGGGAGCATCAGGCACACCAAAAAGGAGGAACACTGAGAGAGTGCTAAAGTATATTGATACAGTTGTGGAAGTGGAATGGATCCAGAAAGGTGCACATTTATGACCCTTGCTCTATATTTTCATAAGGTGATACCAGTCTTTAGTGAGCAAAGGGAAGAAGAGGGGGCCAAGGGGATGAAGAATCGAAAGGACTGATTATACAGTGTCTGCTTTTAGACTTCACTTTTTAAATCCATTCAGAAATATCAGAATCATGTCAACAGAATATTTCACAAAGATCACCATGTGTTTTTCTTTTAAACATTTTTTATTATTGATGGCATTCCAAAAATAAAATAATATTAGATATATTAACATAAGTACAACAAATACACACAAAAATACAAAACACACAATGAGGGAATGTTAGCATCACTAACTGAATTGTATCTCCTACTTTTTGGACACTCTCAGCCTCAGAAACAAGAATGCTAGGAAACAAGAAGTGAAATTGAGAGGAGAAATAATTCCAATCTTAACAGTATGTGCAATTAAGATTTACATAGTACAAAGCACCCATAATTCAGTTTCCTTTATATCTAAGTGGTCAGATCTGAACTGCTTTGTGTTACAAAATGCTATTTCTTTTTTTCTTTCTTTTGGAATTTTGTTGCATGCATCAAAATGCATTGCACGAAAAGGGAATGAATTAAGATAAGCATGTGTTTTCTGAGAACCAGCGATGTGTAGTAGTTTGAGCACTAGACTGTAACTCTGGAGACTAAGGGCCCTTCCGGACAGGCCCTACATTCCAGGATATGATCCCAGGTTTTCTGCTTTGAACTGGATTATATGAGTCCACACTGCCAGATTATCTGGATACACAGAAAACCTAGAATCACATCCTGGGATATAGGGCCTGTCTGGATGGGTCCTAGGATTCAAATTCCCACACAGCTCTGGAAATCCACTGAGCAAATTGCCTGAGAGGAAGTCAGTGGCAAACCCCCTCTAAACAAATCTTACCAAGAAAACCCTATTATAGGTTCCCTATAGGGTCACTATAACTCAAAAGTGAGTTGAAGGCACAAAACAACTATATGTATCTTGGTCTACAACTTTGTTGTAGGGGATGTTCTTCTGCCCTTTCCCTTGCCTGGAAACCTACCCAACCCTAGAGCTAGAGGTTGGAAAATGTATTTATTGGACTACAGCACCAGAAATCCCTAGCCAAAATGGCTAATGTGGCCAAAACACAAAATCTTCTGAGTTTTGCCCAGCACCACAGCGAGATGGGGAAGGGGAGGAGGTCAAGTGGCAGGGTGTAGAATTCGAAAAAACTATGAAGTAGCCACCGCCTGAAGGCAAACCTGATTTGGAAATAAAGAAACCTGTTGGCTGAAGGGACTGAGCACTTTCTCTGTGATTTGTACACCTAGGCAGGTAGGAAGGTAGAAGAGTTGGAATCCTGCTGCAGTTTCCTTTCCTCTACAGAAACCACTGTTGCTCTCTGCAAAGAGTCCACATATGCCCACCCTGCTACTTGGATTGGAGCATCATCTTTTTCACTGCCATGCCTGGGTGTCTCCCAGGAGTAGAGGGCCTGTAACCCACATCTCCCTCTCTGCCCCTTTGCATTTCCCCCCTTGACTATAGTCCTGTCCTTAGCTGCAACCACAAGCATCGACTACCATGTCAGGGATGTCAGTCTTGATGAGGTTGCTATTGGGGTCAAAGTAGAGCAGAGAAAGGGCCCGTCGCTGGGTAGGGACACAGCAAGAACGGCCAGCAGTCTGAATGTTGTTAGCTTTGACCAAGTTGAAGACAGTGGTGTGGAAGGAGGCTGCAATGCCAGGCGTGCCAGCCAGGTGCATGGGGCATTCACCCATACAATAGTTTATCTGATAGCCCTCTGGCTTGAAAATCCAGTCATTCCAACCAATGTCCCGGAAGTCAACATAATAGTCTTTTCGGCAGCAAACCTCAGAATTCTGGTCACAGCTCAGGCTGCGCTTGGTGATCTGATGGCTAGGCTCCCGCATTTTGGCCTTCACCACGAGGAAGGGCTGGTGAGAGCTGCCAGTGGTTGTCACCAAGGCTGTGATGTTGGGATGGCAGCCTTTGCACTGCAGCTCCAATTGAAGGGCTTTCTCCTTGCGCTGAAAGAAGTTCTGCAAGCCTGGCATGAGGGAGAAGGTGTGCCAGCTGCTGCCCTTGCTTCCCAACTGCTGCTCCCCCAGGGCCACTCGCTCATGCCCTGCCAGGTAGACCTGTAGAGTGATGTTTCGATGGGCCTTGAGATACAGCCATAGCTGGGCCTGCAGGATGTGCATGTCTTGGCCTTCTGTTTGCGTAAGCTGGAACTGTAGTAGCCCAGAAGGCTCTGCAGAGAAGAGAGAACAGACAAGATGGAAATCATTATTTCGCTTTTAAGAACATTATTACAAGTATTTCCATACCTCAGAACATCTGGGAACCTGAGCTAGATTCTCTAAATTCTTCACTTAGCAAGATGCCAGTGACTATGTGTCCCTCACTCCATGTTTCGTTGCTGTGGAGCTCAATGAGGCAGCCACTGTCTCTCTCAGCGTGACCCACTCACATGGTTGTTGTGGGGTATAAATGTCACAAATAAATCTATATCCTGACACCAAAGCAATCTATGATATAGAAAGCATAAGGCTAAGAAAGCATGCTACATTCAAGAGGCCCTAGTTACCTCCTTACTTGAATTTGACCCTAGGTTCCCTTGCATATACCGAATTTTAAAAATTGGAATATGTCAACATAACTACTTATTTGTCAAGCATCTAAGGAATTAGGCATTACACAAGACTTTCTCCTAGCCTCCCCAGATTCTATATCAAAGGCCATTTCCTTCTTGCTCCATCATGGACAATGCCAATAGATAATTATTTGGTGTGACTCATCTGTACATCCTAGTGATGGATTTTAACTGCATGAATCCAGAGCCAGAAAAAAAATCCTCTTTTTTCAAACTCAGGTAGCCATGCAAGTTTGGACTTCTAGGAATGATATCCTCCCCACCCCTTGCCCCCATTATGCCATGTATGGATACACAATCAAAGCCATCCAGGATCTGTTAAAAACCTCCCGAGATGGAGACTCCACCACACTCTGAGGCAGTCTATTCCACAGCTGAAGCTTCTACATTAGGCTTGCAACCATGTGCCAAGAAGCATAGTTCAATGGTCTCACTCAATGTGTGGTGGCCTATCAGGCCTTTCACAATACTGCGTTCCACATGGATTTCTACCATGCTGTGGCTACAAAGGTCACTCCATGGTAGAAATAAACAAATGCATAGATCAATAAAACTCTATCAAATTCCTTCATGAGATTTGCACACCTTTTGGCAAAGCCATTCTATGATCAGACATTTTTTGCAAGTAAAGAGGTTACCCTTCACCTAGAAATGTTATTTTGCAGTTCCCATTGTAATGACTGGAGAACTTCCAAAGCTCTGATTCTCCAGATGCCAAGGGACATGTGTAGAACAGCATTGAACATAAAGCCCCAGTGGTGTGAAAGTTTTCCTTCAGCTATTTTCCAACTCTTTGATTCTATGATTCTATGATTTGCCACCTGTTTGGATGAACAGTGAATGACAGGCAGAAATCAATAGGTGAACCATTTACTCTGTCCCCATATGGTCCTCTGGTCACCCACAACTCAACTGTAATTCAGAAGGTGAATTAGAAGAGATGAAGGAATTTCAGTAGGTAAAGCTTCAGAGGGAAGAAGCACCCACTGAGATTTGTTCTTCTGCACAACCAATAAAGGGACAGAAACCCTGCCATGCTTTCCCCTTGGCAATCCTAGTCTCTAATGGGAAAGAAAGCCCAGCACAAAGAATTACTGCTCTGCTTCCTAACAAAAGTATGCAGAGGGTGTCGTGGTCTCTGAACACAGCTTATTTTCTAATTGAAGCCCTAGATAATATGCCCCGAAGAGGCACTCACCTGTTTCTGCAAAACTGATGATCTCGTAGCCTTGCTCATCCGGCTCGGGCTTCTCCCATCTGGAAGAGAGCCCGGCTCCATCCATCCGGCCTTTGCCCAGGTGCAGTCGCCGCAATGCATTGGCGACGGCGGCACGTGGCACAGGATGGGTGATGTTGGGCCTCTGGCTGAGGTTCAGCTTCTGCAGGATCTGCTGCTTGGCTACTTCCACCAGGAAGGCTTTCTCTGCGCTGGGCTCTAAAGGGGGCATCCGGCAGGAAGGGCACCCTGGTCTTCCCTCAACCCAGGCCACGAAGGTCCATAGGAGGACTACTCTGGCCAGCAGAGTCCTCTTGCCCTGGAAGTTGTAGGGAGGAGTAGGAGCCATGCAGAAGAGTGCAATGGGAGATAGCAAGATGTTGCAAGGGGAGTGGTATTTCTAGGTATGGAAGTTAGGGACCACCACTGGACCTCACCAGCTATGTCTCGACTGCATCCACGATGCCTTCATTTTAGCCTTAACAGTCTTCTCCTGGTTCTAGGAAGACAGAATAAACCTCTAGGTCCTCTTTTGCTTCCTGCTGATCCCTCTCTGCTCCTTGTCCTTAGCCAGGATCTTCTCTTGCTGCTACTGTTACTGCTCTCCAAGCCAGGCAGTAGAGCAAGTATGTCTCGCTTGAGATATTGGCTCTCTGGCTGGCATTTCACAAGTGTCACCTAGCCAGGTGCCTCAGTACTTGTCACTTAAGCAGCCTTGGCCCCACCTTCTTGTGCTTCCATGATTGGTTGTCCTGATTGCAGTGCCCTGAAAGGGAGGTTTGTGCAGTTGGGGTGGAGTTTAGAGTGAAAGGGGGATTGCAACAGGCTCCCTGTGGTGTAGTATAGGGGCCTAAGGGGAGGAGAAGGAGCTACATATTCCTTGATGCGTAAAGGGTGAGGATTGCATAGGTAGTCTCTGTATTAATGTGCAGGGAAATACCTCCTTTGCCAGGGGAATGAGGAACCCAACACGAGGAGAAATGGCAAAAATGTAGGGTTAGTGAGTTAAACTGCTGAGCTGCTAAACTTGCTAAACGAAAGGTTGCAGGTTCGAATCCAGGGAGTGGCATGAACTCCCACCATTAGCCCCAGCTTCTTCCAACCTAGCAGTTCGAAAACATGCAAATGTAAGTAGATCAGTAGGTATTGCTCTGGCGGGAAGGTAACAGCGCTCCATGCAGTCATGCCAGCCAGGTGACCTTGGAGGTGTCTAAGGACAATACTGGCTTTTTGGCTTAGAAATCGAGATGAGCACCAACCTCCAGAGTTGGACATGACTGTACTTAATGTCAGGGGAAATCCTTTACTTAACCTATAGGGTTAGGGTGAAGGGGAATATAGTTTGGGAAACACTGGCCCCTTCTACACTGTCCTTATATCCCAGGATCTGATCCCATGTTATCTGCTTTGAACTGAGATATAGCACAGTGTAGATCCAGTCACTGGTAGTGTACCCATAGGTCCCCAAGGTAGCACAGATGATAGACATGGGAATGGTTATTTCACCAAGACTTGTGATTTCTTTTCATGTCAGGAGCAACTTGAGAAACTGCAAGTTGCTTCTGGAGTGAGAGAATTGGCTGTCTGCAAGGACGTTGCCCAGGGGATGCCAGGATGTTTTGATGTTTTACCATCCTTGTGGAAGGCTTCTCTCATGTCCCCGCATGGGGAGCCGGAGCTGACAGAGGGAGCTCATCCATGCTCTCTCCGGATTTGAACCTGCAACCTGTCAGTTTTCAGTCCTGCCAGTACAAGGGTTTAACCCACTGCACCACTAGGGGCTCCTTGTGATGCACCCACACAAAGAGTTATGCAGTTTGTCTTCACTTTAGCTGTGATGGTTCAATGTTACAGTATCCTAGGACTTGTAGTTTGGTGAGACACCTGCACTCATTGTCAGAGGCTGAAGAACTTGTGAAACTTCAACTCCCAGAATTCCATAATATTGACAAATGGCAATTATGGTATTGCCGAACCAAATTAATTCTACAGTGGAGCTCCCCTTTGGTTTGGAACAACCTTTAAGAGTGGCAATAGCAGCAGGAGCTAAAAAATTGGTGTTGAAGGCATTTTTCAAAAAGAAAAAGAAATGAAAAAAAAATCAGAGTCCCAAAATTTGCTCCCAGATATGCAGAACTGCAGATAATAGTTAACCCTGTTGAAATGATGAACCCCACTAGCCAAGAATACCATAGAATCATGTTGAAGGACTTATAAAATGACTAAACAGGGCATATTTTGTCGGATATGGATAAATGAAACTGTGCTACCAGTCCTGCAGATACAGGGGCTGTACTGTATAAAATATATATGATCGTCATGAACACGAGAGTATCATACATTTATAGATGCCACACTTTTTCTTTAAGAGACGCTTACATTTAAGCACTTTTAAAATAACCTGAATAATTTACAGCTCGATCATCAGCACAAACTTGACAAGGAGGAAAAAACCCCTAGATTAATGTTTTCTATATTAATGGCTTCTTTTAAATCGACATGGTTAAATATGGTTAAGTTAGGTTAAACAATAACAATAACACATGTTTGGTGTACACGGAAAAAGGTAGTGTATAATACCACAGTGAGCAAAGTGAGATTTGATATCAAGCGTCTCTTTGTATACTTTACAATGTTCTCCCTCTTCCAGAGCAAATAGGACCTTCTATCAGGCATTTCCCCACTCCAGAACCACAAAGGGATGGGAGAAAACTCACCCTTCCTGTCTGCTGCATTCCCAAAATCTCTCTCTTTTCTCTAGCACACACACACACACATGCACTATATATATATATATAGTGCATGTGTGTGCATGTCTGGGTTATATGGCTGTGTTGAATCCTACGTTCCTCCTGCCATCTCAGCACTTTTACCCTGTACCCCATTGCGCCGGCCGAACCAGTTTTAATAGTGTCTTGATGTATTGATGTATCGTCATTGTTGTTATTTTGCTTAATTGTTGATTTGCTTTGTTTATTGTTGTGTTATGTTTTCTATTGTATTGTGTTTTGAGGCTTCGGCCTGTGTAAGCCGCATCGAGTCCTTCGGGAGATGCTAGCGGGGTACAAATAAAGTTAATAATAATGTGTGGAAGGCATATGGCTGTGTGGAAGGACCCTAAGAGAAGAAGCTGGGGTATGTATATATATAGGGTATGTATGCTGGGGTATGTATATATATAGGGTATATATATGGGGTATGTATGTATATATGTGTGTATATATATATATATATATATATATATATATATATACATACATACATACCCCAGCTTCTTCTCTTAGGGTCCTTCCACACAGCCATATGCCTTCCACACAGCCATATAACCCAGAATATCAGGGCAGAAAACCCACAATATCTGCTTTGAACTGGGTTATCTGAGTCCACACTGTTATATATTCCAGTTCAAAGCCGATAATGTGGGATTTTATTCAGCTGTGCGGAAGGGGCCTTAATATAGTAAAAAGTACACATTAATTTGGTTTCGTTTCGTTTCTCCATAGTGCTAATGGGTTAGGTGCTCTTAGTTCCACTCCTCAGCTGAGACCTCTCTGACTTGGTTGGACCTGCTGGTAGTTACACAGCTCTCAGCATCCTTGGAGCAGTTAAGCCACCCACCATGACAAGGTGACATCATTGGGGGGAAAAGAAAAAAGTTTGGATTATTGATTTTGCCATACTAGGTGACAGTCGCATTGAGGAAAAACAACAGGAAAAACTCAGCTGCCATCAAGACTCAAAGTCGAACTGCAAAGGCTCTGGCATAAACCAGTACAGGTGGTCCTAGTGGTAATCGGCATACTGGGTGCCATGCCAAAAGATCTCAGCCAGCATTTGGAAACAATAAACATTGACAAAATCACGATCTGTCAGCTGCAAAAGGCCATCTTACTTGGATCTGCACACATCATTAGAAAATATATCACACAGTCCTAAACGGTTGGGAAGTGTTCAACTTGTGATTTTGTGATACGAAATCCAGCACATATATCTCATTTGCTGCTGTGTCATACTGTGTTTTTGTATCAGAATAATAATAATAATAATAATAATAATAATAATAATAATAATAATAATAATAATTCTACCCCTACTCTCTCCCAACCATCCCGGGATCGCAACAACCAGAGAAGTCACCTGAGCACTGACACTGTGTTGCAAAGGGCACCTCAAATGAACTCCTTCTGATTCTTTCCTCTTTCAGAAGCCACAAAGTTCTTATCTTGTGCTGCTGCTGCTGATAAATCCCACAGTAGTGATTAGCAAAGGTGAGGAAGCTTGCTTGTAATCAGCCAGCTGATTTCCCTTTCTGTAAGTGTGACGTCCGGCTGGTGCCACGTTACTGCCCTGCTCAGGGTTCCCTTGCCTTGAGACATCACCCAAGCTTTGCTCAAGAGCCAAGGTCTCTCCTATCCGAACAGCTTCTTCTCTGACTCAGAACGTCCTTTGCAGAGCTTGGAAGATTGTTTTCAAATTCTTTTCGCATCCCTGTTGGGGATGTATTTGCACTGTAGAATTAATTCAGTTTGACACCATTTTAACTGTCATGGCTCAATGCCATGGTATACCTGGAGATGTAGTTTTACACAATCTTTAGTGTTTTCTGCTAAAGAGTGCTGGGGCTGCTCCAAACAACATATCCCTGGATTCCATATGGCATTTAGCCACCTGCATGCCAAATTGCATTCATTCTACATGTTAGGTGCACTCTTGCTTTGTTTTTTTGTTTGTTTATTTGTCTATTTTTTAAAATCACATTTAGCTGTGACAACATTTTTAAAGGTGGAACAGAGCTGTGGGTTTTATTATTATTATTTCACTGCTTTAAGCACTAACCATTTTTTTATAATTGTCTTGTTATTGTTGTGTGCCTTCAGGTTTCAGATTATAATGACTTTATCATGGTAGGATTTGCTTGGCAAGATTTATTCAGAGGATGTTAGCCATTGCCTTCCTCTGAGACTGAAAGACTATGCCTTGCCCAAAGGCTTCCTGTGGATTTTCATGGCCAAGCAGGGATTTGATTGGCAGTCTCCCAAAGTCTTGACTACACCACTCTGGCTCTGAAAGTGCAAAATCTTGGAACCTGGAAATCTCACTTGTATTAATGAAGGTGGTCAAATTTACTTTATTTATATAGCTGAATCTGTGGATATATATTACGTTGCAATAGAATCTAGGTTCTTCTCTCATCCCTGCCATTTTTAAAAATAATAAAATGCAAGCCAATCATATAGTGGTAAGTTAGTATGGGTATCTAAATGGAATCCCTTGGAGGAAGTACAGATCAGGGACATATTCTAGTTGTCTGACTGCAATAAGAAAATGATTCACTGTACACTCCAAAGTAACAAATAGTGATGTTTTGCCAAAATGGAACATAAATATTGGCCAAGGACACTGCTGACGTATACTTACTTACTTTCTTACTTAGACAATCCCTCATAGTCTGATGATGATGGTCCTCAAAGTGTAGTGTCCTGGAGGTGGGTCTGTAGGTGACTGTGGAGCCCTATTCTTGATCTGCATCTTCTCCCACAGTGAGGGCATCGGTTTCCAGGTTGAAGGCGGTCCTGGTCGGGGTTGGCTTCACGCACCTTCTTCTTAGCACGTTTCTCTCTTTTGCCCTCCATACAGCATACAACATATAAACAAAGGCACTGATGCAGATTTTGACTCTGCTTTACTCAAGAGACAA